AAGAGTGGCCGTCCTGTGATGCAGCCGTGGGAGTGATGTGGAAGAATAATCATAACATAAACCATGTGTTTCTAGAGGCAACGTGTCATCCAAGGGCCTATTTTCATCTATTTTCAACTTCCCTGATTATTTCAGCAAGTCTATGATGTTGGAACGGCGCCAGCTTTGCCGAGGCTTTGAACAGACAGCCAAAGATCGCTCAAGCTTTTGTGCAGCAGTGCATCGGCAGTTGCTAGAGGTACGGCAGCTGAGCGTGTCATTCTGCTAGATGATGCTAGATGTATAGCCGTTCTCATCTCATGTCCAGTGCCTCCCACACCATGTGACCGAATTCGGCCCGATCACGAAACTCGCAGGATGTCTCTGAGGACTTTGCGAGCGCCTCGGCAGTGCTCAAGGTGCGGTGCTCGGGTCGTCCGGGCGGAGCGGCGCTTTTTGGCGCCGCGGGCGGCGTGGCGGCAGTCGGAAGAGCATTCCGCAGTGGTGCAGTCAGATCATCATGATCAATCAAGGAGCGAAGCATAACTATCATATCATACTTAGTAAAGCCAGATGTTGGAGAGTGAAAACTGACAACCAGGGAAAGACTTATGTAGCATGGGCATCAGTTTGCCCACTGTTGGCGGAAAGCATTCCAGATCTTCAGGGAGGGTAACTGCTTTTACTACCATCTCTGAACATTTTTTCAGCTTGCTGGCAAGGCTCCACGTTTGGTGATTCACCAGATCCAGGTGGATCGAGCATCATTTCTTTTGCGAGGGAGGATGGTTTGCTGATGCCTTCCCTCGCATCAGGCGCTGAAGACAGCCAAGCAGAAGTTGCAGGAAGAATACCGGCAGGCCACGACAGGGGGGGTCCCGGTGCCAGAGGATTGGACCTTTATTGCGCGTTCTTGATGCGAGAGTTGAGTGTGAGAGAGTGAGAGCGATAAGAATCTATGAAATCTCTGGTTGGGATAGGGCACTCGCACAGAAGAAACATTTTGGGACCTGGAGCCTGTAGCAGAAGCCCGAGCTCCGTCAAGGTGATTGGTAGGGAATGGCTGGACCTGAGGAAAGTATGCGATCAGATTACTCAACATATAATCATGATCATGAGACAGATATAAACTATATATAAAAGACTTTCCATGTGAGGTTGGACCATTGACGTACTGACAACCCATTGAAAGTGATTGCTCAATGGCTTCATGATAGAACTGGATATCCGGCGGATTGGGGGAATGGTTTCCATGTGCTCTTCATTTGTCCATTTCCCAGGCCCCATGCCTTGCCCCGTCGGTGTACTCAGTATACTCACTATATACAAGGCTTCTTGACACGCGTGAGACACACAGGCATCACATGGCGCAAACATGCATAAGAACAGTATGCTGGTGACAGGATGTGTCAATATGTGTTATATTCTATTGATTTGTCACCAGTCAGACTCGTCAAACTTGTCAAAGTATCCCACGATCATGTGGTTCATTGCGTATTTGTATGTGTGTGTGTGTATGTTGTCATCGGTACACTCCGCAATCACTGTACATTTGATGTGTTTGATGTTTTTGCCATCAAGCCCGGACAAATCCACCACTTCAGAGAGCCTTTTCCACGATGAAACACACCTGGTCACTTGGCACAAATCACACCAACCAGGCCTTCGTGCACCTCTCCTTGCCGGACGTCTTTGGCTTCTTCGTGGAGCACTCCACCTTGTGGCGCCTCGGTGTTCACCGGACCCGGCAAGGCCGAGTTGGGGCTCCAGTTTGGATCACTCCTCTCGAAACGGCTCTTTTTCTTGTTGTGAGGGGAGTTTGGAGCATTTGGGGGTGTTGCTGAGGTTGAAGTAGTATGTCTTTGAGGGTGCGCAAGGGTCCCCGATTTCGGGCCCCTTTCAGGCGCTTTGAAGCCACTGATGAACGGACACTGTGGCCACATCCAGGCACCCAATCGAGTCTTTTGGAGCATCACTTGATCCTGAAGCAATGGAGAAGTGCATGGAATTAGGGTCCATCTTCGGATGAACTTTGGGGCAAGACATGCAATTATTGAATGGATTTAAGAACAGCTGTGGAGGGAACGCAAGAAAAAATC